CATGATAATTAGTTTGCTCAAATCCATTGTTTCAACTACTTTGTCTGTTCAGTGCCTTCCAATCTAGTAGCTCATCTTCCAGCACTATAGCAGACAATATTCTGTTGTGAGCCATAGGGTTTTCTTGATTAATTTTTGTAAGTAGATCACCAGGCCTTTCTTCCTAGTCTGCCTTATTTAGTTTGGAAGCTCCACCGAGACCTGTCCGTTATGGGTGACCCTGCTTTGAAATACTGGTATTATAGCTTCCAGCATAACAGCAGTGTGCAAGCAACAACAGTATGACAAACTGACACAAATGCCCCCTGGTATAACACGTTTAAAAAGTATGACCTTGGTCAGTTGTGGTTCCATGACACAGTGGTACATTTTCACACTACTCAGGCCTTCACTGAGCTCTCCTTGTCCGAGTACTGGTCAGAGTCACTGTAATCAGAGTCACCACATTTATCCCTCAATTGCATACTATGCTGTATATTTACTATCTTACTAAAATGAACATTCTGTGAAAGCAGGGACTTTATTTTGCTCACTGTTATATCCCCAACACCTAGAATAGTGTCTGCACAATGTAGGCACCAAATAAATGTTTGTTAAACGGATGCATGAACAAATGTGGATTAGTTTCCCTTGACTACATTGGACAACTTGGAGAGCAGGTGAATACCTGAGAATATTATACACCTGAGAACATTGGTCAAAAATCCGTTTTTGTTTGTTTCTTCCATATCTTTATATTGTAGAAGTTAAAAGAGCATGTATTGACTGATATATCAATTCTACCCTTAAAACAATCTTGTTTTCTCACAGCAGGATTCTGTGAGCATCTGGTTAGCACATCAAAACTGGGCATGAGTATTTCTAAACTCCACACTAGGTTCCTTCTCTAAGTGCAAGGCAGGTTCTACATTCCTGGCACATTGGCATGGAATTGGCTCCAACTAAGAGCATCTGCGCTTGGAGCCCTGGTGGCGAAGTGGTTAAGAGTTCAACTGCTAACCAAAAGGTCAGCA